TAAGTTCGAAGTCTCGATACTCACATTCAATTGAGATGCACGAATGAATTAAGACTTTTATGATTCTCCAAATTTCCCCAAATACTACAAACCAGTTTTTCAACACCAATATTTGTTCAAAGTGAGATGAATTGTTTTATTTATTTATTTATTTATTTTTTTCCAATTTATGTATCTTTCTTTTCATCGTCATGTCAGATAACATGTCATAATGTCAAACATTCCGACTGGTTAGAAATCAGTTTGTCTCCTTCCTCCTCGTCGGTAGAACGCCGCGTACCTGCAAAGAACTCTCATACCGGAGGGATTTTCCGATGAAGAGCCTCCCACGCTTAAGTCAGTGTTTGTTCTACTCAATTCTCAAGAGTAAAAATGGATAAATCGTGCTCAACAAGAAAAGTCTACCCCTATACATAGGAATGTGATACTTGGCCTAGGAGTTGCCCGGATTTGATAAGTTGTCTGCCCAAACTTGCCCGTCCGTACAGACATAGTGTGCGTGTGTCAGAAACGGTTATCATCATAGACCAGTACATTCACGCCATGTGTCCACTGCACATGGGGTAAATATTTCCCTGAATATTTCTCTGAAATCCCATTAAAGGCTTTTACGCTTAACCGCGTCCAGGTCGATTCTCAGACTGCTCTTGGCTTGTGAAGTGGTCCATCAAATGATCTTTTGCTTGACAGGTCGATCTTCGACCAGATCCTCCGTGAACCTGAGACCAACATATACCCCTCATGTTGGAATTCTCCATATTCTGTTCTCACAGTGCTCGATCACAACTGCTTTGCTCGATACTATTCGACCAGTGTGGCCTTCTTCATATCAGATTTGTTCAACCGGTCTAGTGAACCGATTTACTCTTTTAGGTATATAATATCTCATATGAACATGTAAAGAGTAAACACATAATCTTGTGATAGTGTACATTTGATTGTAAGTTTTGATTTCCAAAATAAAAATAAAAAGCTCGTACTTCTTGAGGTTTAATATGAAAAAAAAAAAATAGCCCAAACAAATGTATAAAATTTGTCAAAAAATAATTTCTTCTCAATTCACAAAGTTTCATGGAGGGGCAAAATTGTCGGGTCACATTCACTATATGCAGTTGTTGTACTTGTGAGTTGTACGTCGGTTTCACTGTGGCGTGAGACGTAAATACCACTGAACCCCAGGCCCCATTTGGTCATTTATCACACCCACTAACAGGCGCACGCCGTGCCTGTAACCCAGACTTAAATACAACTCATGAGCCAATTTCAGATCCGCGGATACAGTTTTTTTTTCACTCCCAGGAAAGTAGGGATATTTTCAAAGACTAGTTCTTCAAAGGCTGCTGTGCTGTGCTGAACTTCAAATCTTCATACACCTTTTCTTTATTTTTCTCATCGTTTTTTGGGAGCAAAGCTTCAGCCCTACGTACGTATATAGTTCGATCAATCATATACGAGGTGGAGAGGAAAAGATTGGAGTGAGATCTGTCGGAGAAATCAGGTCTGCGCTGCTGAAATTCACTTTTTATGGCCGATTTGTGCTGTTTTCAGTTTTCTGTTGTCTGTTTTGTGTTTGAAATGCGTTTTTGGTTTCATTTTGGTGATTATTTCGTTTTCATTTCTGTGTAAATGTGTGTAGATCTGAAGAAACTGAGGTGTTACGGTTCAGTTGCGCGTGCTATCGTAGCTACGTGTATGGTCGATGTTCAGGTCGGGTTTAGTAAAGTAGAGGTTGATCTGCTGAGGTCTTGGTGGTTGTGGAGGAGATCTAAGCTTTTCTGGTTGGTGTAAAGTTTAGTAGAGCTGTGAAAGGTGTTTAATTTGTTCGATCTTCGTATTTGGCTTAGCTGTGGTAGTTGTAGTTAAGATCAACTGAGCAGCATAGAATTGTGAAAAAGACTGAGTTGGGTTAAGATCAGCTGAGTAGGCTAGAATTGTGAAAAATACTGAGTTGGGTTTTTTTTCCCTGTAAGTTGATTGGGATGGAAACTCTAATTATTGGTCATCGTAGGAATCACAATCAGTGTTACGCTAGAAATCGCGGTGGTTATAGTTCGACAAAATTCGGGCCTTTTGGCTCGCCTCCCTCGGGCAATTTCCGGGGGATTAATTGTCGAACTTTTCAGTCAGAGGAAGGTTTACTTCCAACCCCATCCAAAGCCCACATATCGAAAACACCTTTTACTGAAAAGGCATTTGCCACCTCGTTTTCGCCCCGTACCCCATCCCCTTGTCTGAATGGAAGCCATAAACCCTCGAAAGGAATTGTGAAAAGTAAAACAGTTGATATTCCAAATATCAAGTTCAAGCTCGAGAGCAGTGAAGGGGAGTTTGTTTTTTCCGAGCGTTGGGCTGGCCCTGCCTATTCGAACTCGCCTCCCCCGAGTTCTTTGCCCATCCCGAAATTTTCACTGAGGCCCAAAAGAACTGTATCACTCGAGCTCCCAAAGGCAGCTTCGGAGGTTAATTTCCACCCCATTGCTAAGTCAGCTCCTGCTTCCCCAACTAGGGAACGCAGCCCCTCTCCAAGTGGTCCTTTTGACTTTTCGGATTCCGGGACTGAGACGAGCCTTTCCCTCTGTGATATGTTTGACCTTTCTGATTCTGGTACTGAGATGAGTCCATTGCCATGCGATCCTGTTGACATTTCTGTTTCTGCTACCTTGACTCTTCGTCGCATTCTTAATCTTGATGATACTGATAATTGAAGAAGTTTGTGGTGTGTTTGGTGCCCGGTGGATAAGGAAGTTAGCGTACTTTTGTTGCTTTAGTTGTATTTTGTATATACAATCAAAAGGATCAGCGAATGGGATGACTTGTTATCAAGAGTTGGTTTAAAAAATTCTCAAGTTGTGTAGCATGGTGTGGAGCATGAGTTGTGATGTCTGGTTCGCTGGCAGTCTGAATTGTGGAAATTTTTTTGGGGGGGGATTATGAAGTGTTTGTGGTTGCTCAGTATTGGATTTTGCTTAAAATTTTGAACAGGCAGGGGTTAATCCGTGGATCGTGTAGTTGATTGACAAAATCTTGGATCTATCTGTGATGGTTAGCTTGGGGACAGTAGTTGCTGTTGAAACTTGAAAGTAGCAATTCTGTTCATCATAAATGTATTTTCTTCAGGGCTTCATTTTCTTTTGGTTCTCTTTTTATACTTGTACATGCTGTAGAAACCTAACTTTGGTTAAAATCAGTAGCATTTCATTTTCTTTCTTCCTTGTTGAGTAACTCATCCTGGTATTCAGATTAGTCTCTTTTGACTAACTGCCATTCCTTCCTATGTTCCATGTCCCTGAATTTGTCATCCGCAATCATCCTCTTCATCT